CGAGTCCCGTATCGGGCTCCCTGCTCAGCGGGGAGTCTGCTTCTCCCAAAAAAGATTTTATTTATTTATTTGAGAGAGAGAGAGAATGAGAGATAGAGAGCACGAGAGGGAAGAGGGTCAGAGGGAGAAGCAGACTCCCCGCTGAGCAGGGAGCCCGATACGGGACTCGATCCCGGGACTCCAGGATCATGACCCGAGCCGAAGGCAGTCGCTTAACCAACGGAGCCACCCAGGTGCCCTACTTGGCCCATTTAAAGTGTCCGATTCAATAGTTTTTTTAAAATAATGTTGGCAGCTGTCATCACAGCCAATGTGAGAACGTTTTCATCACCTCTAACAGAAACCCTGCCCGCTTTGTGATCACTCCCTTTTTCCCTCCCCCCAGCCCTAGGCAACTACTAGTCCACTTCCTGTCTCTTTACATTTACCTCTTCTGGACACTTCATATAAATGGAATCATATATGATTCTGTGACCGGCTGCTTCACTTAGCATGATGTTTTCAAGATTTTCCTGTGTCGTAGCACGAAGCAGCGCTTCATTGCTTTGCCTTGCTGAATCCTGTTCCACGGGGTGGCTACGCCACAGTCTGTCCATTCATCTGTGGGTGCACATCTGCGTTGTGTGGGACATCTTACTCCCTGAGGAAACTGAGGTTCCCAGAGTGGATGTCTCGGGCTGCGTGTCCACCTCTAGAGTCTGTGCTTCTTCCCCACCCAGGCCTTGTTCTCACAGCTGAGCTCCGTGCTGTGACAGGGCTAGATCGGGACACAAAGGGGTGAGGGGTCAACTTTAGAGAGGAAGGGGTGACAGCGTTCCAGCGCCCTGAAGGATGAGTAGGAAATTGAAAGAACATCGAGGGGCGCCTGGGTGGCTCAGCCGTTGAGCATCTGCCTTCGGGCTCAGGTCATGATCCCAGGGTCCTGGGTTCGAGCCCTGCGTTGGGCTCCCTGCTCAGCGGGAGGCCTGCTTCTCCCTCTCCCATTCCCCCTGCTTGTGTTCCCTCTCTCGCTGTGTCTCTCTCTGTCAAATAGATAAATAAAATCTTAAAAAACAGACAAACAAACAAACAAAAAAGAAAGAACATCGAGGGCAGAGAAACAGCAGGGGCAAAAGCCCAGAAGTGTGAGGCTGCATGGTGTCAGCGGCAAAGGTATGGGGGAGCAGAGAGGCGGAGAAGGGGGTGGTGAGGTGATAGGGTTGGAGACAGGGGCTAGATTTTATTTTATTTATTTTATTTTATTATTTTTAAATATTTTATCTATTCATTAGAGAGAGAGAGAGAGAGAGAGAGAGCGCAAGCAGGGGGAGTGGCAGGCTGAGGGAGAGGGAGAAGCAGGCTCCCCGCGGCGCAGGGAGCCCGATGTGGGTCTCCATCTCAGGACCCTGGGATCATGACCTGAGATAGGGCAGATGTTTAACCGACTGAGCCACCCAGGCGCCCCAGGGACTAGATTTTAAAAGGCCTTGAACGCCCTGCTAGGCACCACAGACTTGATCTTGAAGGCAGAGGGGAGCCCCAGGAGGGCACCATCAACATAATGTGAAGTCAGGCAGACCTCAGACCCCAGTTCTGCTGCCCTTTGCTTTAGTTTTGTCATCTGGAAAATGGGGATGACAGTGATAATAACTTGTTCAAGTACTGAGAGCATTAAGGGAGTTCCTGTCTCTGGAGAACTCAGCCTGGGACCTGGCAGAAAGCCGGCCCAGCACATGGTACTGGGTCTTATCATCCAAGGGTCTTAGCAGGGGTGCGCCGGGGTCAAATGGGTGCTCTGGAAGGGCGTCTGGCTGCCAAGCGGCCGGTGTGGGGCAGGCTGTCGTCCAGGGGAGAGGGCCCCCCCCCCCCGGAGACTTGGGTGAGGACGGAGAGCGCTGCGCGGGCTTGCGGGACCTTTAGCAGGTGACTCCCGCAGCCTCGGACACGGTGGGCGTTGCTCGTGAATTACACCTCCGTTCTGATCTTTCCGGGAGTCCCTGGGCCCGGTGTGAAGCCACCCGGGGGCTGGCTTGACGGCCCCTCTCGGTTCCTCCCTGCAGCGCGCCCGCGGACGCCATGCGGGGGGCTCTGACGCCCCTGTCTTCGCTGCTGCTGCTGCTGCTGGGGTGCGGGCCGAGGGCGGCCACCGGAGGCGGGGCCGGCGGGGCCGCGGGCTACGCGCCGGTGAAGTACGTGCAGCCGATGCACAAAGGACCCGTGGGGCCGCCCTTCCGCGAGGGCAAGGGCCAATACCTGGGTGAGCGCCTCCCCGCCCCGCAGGGCCTCGGACGGCTCCTGACCCCCACCTCCCTGCCTCCTGACCCCCCACCAGGTCCTCCCTGGTCCCCAGCCATAGCCTCTCCATCCCCACCTGAGATCTCCCCCCCCCGCCCCGCCCTTCCCTTTTCCTCCCGACGCGGGTGCAGGGCCTCCGACCTCCGAGCGGCCGGAAGTGGGGCGCGACGGGCTGGCAGAGGTGGTCTTCAGCGCGGGTGGGGAAGGGGCGGGACGGAAGCGGGGGCCGGGGTAGGGGCGGACTGGTCCGACGGGCCCTAAGGAGGGCTGCTGGCGCCACCTGGCGGCCATTCCAACCCCCCCACGTGATGCAGGGACGGGAGTCACCCCAAGCTCCTGGCGAAGGTTCCGGCCTGGGTAGGTTGGGTGCTAGGAGCCCCCAAGAGGGCCGCTGGACCTAAACCCCTAAAGCCCATCTTCCATGAGTGCACGGAGAGGGAGACGGGGTGTGGCCTTCGTGAACAGATGTGGTGTTACCCCATGGGGGTGTGGGTAGATGCGACCCACGTCTCCACTTGCTGGGCCCCTGACTGCCCCTTCTCTCTCTGTCTCTCTGTCTCTCTCTCAGAAATGCCTCTTCCGTTGCTGCCGATGGACCTGAAAGGCGAGCCTGGTCCGCCTGGGAAACCCGGGCCTCGGGGGCCCCCTGGCCCTCCTGGCTTCCCAGGAAAACCGGGCACTGGAAAGCCAGGGCTCCATGGGCAGCCTGGCCCTGCCGGCCCCCCTGGCTTCTCCCGGATGGGCAAGGCTGGTCCCCCAGGGCTCCCGGGCAAGGCTGGACCACCAGGACAGCCAGGGCTTCGGGGTGAGCCAGGGATACGAGGGGACCAGGGCCTTCGGGGGCCCCCAGGACCTCCTGGCCTCCCTGGGCCCTCAGGCATTGCTGTCCCTGGAAAGCCAGGCCCCCAAGGGGTGCCAGGGCCCCCAGGATTCGGAGGGGAGCCAGGGCCCCAGGGGGAGCCGGGGCCCCCAGGGGATCGAGGCCTCAAGGGGGATAATGGAGTGGGCCAGCCAGGGCTACCTGGGGCCCCAGGGCAGGGGGGTGCCCCTGGACCCCCTGGCCTCCCTGGTCCAGCTGGCTTGGGCAAACCAGGTTTGGATGGGCTTCCTGGGGCCCCTGGAGATAAGGGTGAGTCAGGGCCTCCCGGAGTACCAGGGCCTAGGGGGGAGCCAGGGGCTCTGGGCCCAAAAGGGCCCCCTGGGGTGGATGGTGTGGGGATGCCAGGGGCAGTAGGGGTGCCAGGGCCACAGGGCCCAGCAGGGGCCAAAGGGGAACCAGGAACCCGGGGCCCCCCTGGCCTGATAGGCCCCACTGGCTATGGGGTACCGGGACTGCCAGGCCCCAAAGGGGACAGGGGCCCAGCTGGGGTCCCAGGACTCTTGGGGGACAGGGGTGAGCCAGGTGAGGACGGGGAGCCAGGGGAGCAGGGCCCACAGGGCCTTGGGGGGCCCCCAGGACTTCCAGGGTCTGCAGGACTCCCTGGCAGACGTGGGCCCCCTGGACCCAAGGGGGAGACAGGGCCTGGAGGACCCCCAGGAATGCCTGGTATTCGGGGTGACCAGGGGCCTAATGGCCTGGCTGGGAAACCTGGGCCTCCAGGAGAGAGGGGGCTCCCTGGGGCCCATGGACCCCCTGGACCAACTGGGCCCAAAGGTGAGCCGGGTTTCACGGGCCGCCCTGGGGGACCAGGGGTGGCAGGAGCCCTGGGGCAGAAGGGCGACTTGGGGCTCCCTGGGCAGCCAGGCCTAAGGGGCCCCTCAGGAATCCCAGGGCTCCAGGGCCCAGCTGGTCCTCTCGGGCCCCAGGGACTGCCAGGCCTGAAGGGTGAACCCGGCTTGCCAGGGCCGCCTGGAGAGGGGAAAGTGGGGGAACCCGGAGTGGCTGGGCCCACAGGGCCCCCTGGGGTCCCCGGTTCCCCAGGACTCACTGGCCCTCCTGGGCCTCCGGGGCCTCCCGGTCCCCCTGGTGCCCCTGGGGCCTTTGATGAGTCTGGCATCGCCGGCCTGCACCTGCCCAATGGTGGCGTGGAGGGCGCTGTGCTGGGCAAGGGGGGCAAGCCGCAGTTCGGACTGGGAGAGCTGTCGGCCCACGCCACACCCGCCTTCACCGCCGTGCTCACCTCACCCTTTCCTGCCTCGGGTATGCCTGTCAAATTTGACCGGACTCTCTACAATGGCCACAGTGGCTACAACCCGGCCACCGGCATCTTCACCTGCCCTGTGGGCGGGGTCTACTACTTCGCTTACCACGTGCACGTCAAGGGCACCAATGTGTGGGTGGCCCTGTACAAGAACAACGTGCCAGCCACGTACACCTATGATGAATACAAGAAGGGCTACCTGGACCAGGCATCCGGTGGGGCCGTGCTCCAGCTGCGGCCCAACGACCAGGTCTGGGTGCAGATGCCGTCGGACCAGGCCAACGGCCTCTACTCCACCGAGTATATCCACTCCTCCTTTTCAGGGTTCTTGCTCTGCCCCACATAACACCACAGCGGCCTTGCCGCCTTGGCCTCTTCCTCTTTAGTGGTAGAGAGACCTTCTCAGTTACAAGAACCTCCATTTAAAGAAAAAAACCAAAGGCTGAACAGACGCGGAAGCAGAGGCGGCCGTGGCCTTGGCCCAAGGAGACTGGTTTGGTTTCTCCCTCCATGCAGGCTGAGGTGGCTTCTGGAAGAGGCTGGCCGGAGTTCCTCTCCCCCCAAGTGTCTGTGCAGCATTGGGGTTGCGCCCCCACTGCAGGCAGGGGCCCCAGGACACTCAGCCCAGCTGCCGGAGCCCCCTGCCCTCTCGGGAGTCCTGGGCTCTGCTGGGTGGTGAAGGATGCTGCTTCTCTGAGTCAGAGCGGAGAGGGGACTGAGCTCCCCATTCTGTTCCCCCCAGGGAGACACAGGCCCAAGCCCTGCCCTTCCGAAGCTGGCCCCCAGATGGCACCTCGGATCTTGGCTGGAGCTCTTCCAGCTCCCCTGGGACCTCCAGCAGCTGACGCTGCATTCCCTGAAGAGTTTTTGCTTCCAGGGGAAAGCAAAGGGCAGGGGACATCGAGGTGGCCAGTGTGGACGCCCTGCCAGGACTGCACCCCCAGCGTGATGCTGTGGCATCAGGCCTGTCCATGGCAGGTGCAGGTGCGTGGCCCCTTCTCTGCAGGGCCCTGGGAAGGGCCAACCCCTTTTCTGCTCCAGCTGCAGCCACAGGAGCGGTGGTTTGTGATGGGAGGGGCACGGATCTGTGGCACGATGGCAGCCCTTCACGTCCACCTCCATCTCCCAGGCTGCTCCCACTGACTGGCTCTGCTCAGCATTAAGGGCAGCCACACAGGCCTTTGGGGACTGCCGCAGCAGGCCCGGGACAGGATGGACCATCAGCAAACTCAAGTACCCTCCCTTTCTCTCTCCTTCCACCTGCTGGGGGAGGGCTGATTTTTTCATACAAAATTGTAAGGTATCCCGCCTCAACTGTCCCCAAGGCAGAGAGCCTCTTTTTTGGCCCTCAGAACAAGGTACACACAAGCTCGGGGATGAAGAAGGCTCCCGCCTGCTTCTCCTTAACAAGGACCATATGGCGGGTATGTGTGTCTACTAGAGGGGTTAATCTGAGGGGGCTTCCTCTCCTTCTACCCTCTGGTTCCAATTTCCTGTTCTAAGCAGGATTAGGGCCCAGAAGGCTGAGGCTCTGAGGAAAAGGGTGCCAACAGGCCCCTTTGGAATGAGTTGCCTCTGGATGTTTCTGCCGTTTTCCCCAAGCAAAGCCCCCCCTGCAGGAAACGGGTAGGATCCCTCTCCTATCTCCTAGTTCAAGCTCAGTGGATAAAGCTGAGATTAATGCTGGAGCAAAGATGGCCACTTTCCCAGGGGGCCTCGGGGCCTCTCTGTCAGCCCTCCCCGAGCCAACCCACTTCTCTGCACCAGGTGTGAACCTGGGGCGCCCGGTGTGGTCTTGCACTGCTCTGATTCTGGCCAGCACCAGACTGTCCATGTTGGAAACGGTGGTGGCTGACTTCTGGCTCACTGCACTGCAGGCCCCTGGGCAGGCCTCGTCCCCGACCCACTTCTCCCAACAAAGCAGGCCCTTTCACTGCTTGTTTTGTTTTTCAAAAGGAGTGAAACCCAAAGCTGTGCAAGAGACACTTGAACAGGTTTTGGCTGGGGTTCATGGTGGATTGCTTGATCTCCGATACCCGAGAGAACGAATGTGTCTCAAAGCGACCGTGGTGGGGTCCTTTTTGCTCAGCCTCCTTCCTGGGCCAAAGCCACCAGCATCTGACCGGTCAGGGAGAGGTTCCGATGGGTGGAAATTCATCAGCTCTCTCAGCAGGGAGCCCAGGGGACTAAGGAGGGCACTGGGGGAGCCAGAAAGAGCTGTTTCACAGAACTTAGCTTCTGCTAAATGTCATTCCTGAAGCCTTTGGGGAGGGGTGGCTGGTGTTTCTGAAATGTCTATGGGGTTTTAGTTCCAGGTGTCCACTTGACTAGCTTTGATAAACGATGCCAAGTTTTAACTATGAAAACTACGGTACCTTGGTGCATTTTTATATTCTGATTCCTAGGGTATTTTTTTTTTTTTAAGATTAAGGTTTGAATGTTTTCATTGGTAATTTCATTTCTAACCTGGTATAGGAAGCTTAGTTCTCTACATACCTATTATGTGCCCTGTGTCACAAAAGATTAGGGAAAAATGCACTTGGGAACAACAACAAAAAAAGGGACTTCTTTTTGAAAAGAAAACCAGCAGTATTGATGGACTGTACTGACACAACCTCAATAAAATCTGTTGTATGAAATAGCGCTGTGCGGGCCTGGCAGCAATGCAGGGGGGTCTCAAGCCTTTGGGGCTCCTGCTCTACGCCTTCTCTCAAGGAGCATGCATTCCTCCCCAGGCCCCCAGCCATGGGTTCTGTCACCACATCAAAAATGCTCCATGCTCCTAGGCTGCTAAGGCTCTGCACCAATCACTGCCAAAGCAAGGCAGTGATTGCAGTCGTTTGAGCTTCCCTGGAACATTCCCACAAGCTCTCAAGGGTACTGGGGCATGACAGCTGGCTCCAGATCCCAGGGACCAAGTTTCAACATTTGATACAAATTATGAATGAAATCATGAACCTCTGACCCTGAGGGTGGGGGCCAGTGTCAGGCCCATCGCTGAAGGCAGGACTGGGCGGGGGGGGGGGGCTGTCCTGGGTGGAAGGCACCTGCCCACAGCTTTGCTATGCTCAGCACTAAGAATCTGTCCCCGGCTCTAGGGATGGGGTCAGCAAACCTGAAACAATCCAAGCCCTGAAAAGTCCTGTGGTTTGCCCCAGCCTGGCAGGACACCATCTCAGCCGAGAGCAGAGACCTGCCCATCAGTCCTCAGACCTGAGGCTAGCTGCAGAGCTGGGCATGCTTCTCTCTCCACTGAGGCTGGAAGGATAATTGGAGAATATCCCTAAAGTTAGAGGGGAGGGGTCTTCTTCCTTTCAATTTTCCTTTCTTCAGAATGGTGTGCAAAACTTCAAGCCAAAGCCTTTGACTGGGGCCCAAGATACAGAATGAGGCCCAAAGCCTTCAGTCCACCCAGGGCACCGACATGATGCACCCTCCTCACCCAAGGGTTGGCAGTCTGGTGGGAGAGGGTGCCCTCTGCATCCTCCTTCTGGGGTCCTGTTCTTGGGCCAACAGGACCTGGGTCCTATTTGGGGAGCAACCTATGAAGCCTCCGAGAGCAGGGACATCTGGCTTGTCCTGCCACTGCCTGGGCCACTCTGAATGATCTCCAACAAAAAAAAGCACCAAACCATGCCCGCTCTGCCCTTCCTGGCCAAACAGCACAGCCAGCTGGAAGAATGGGAGGAATCTGCCCGACAACCCCGCAGCCTTGCTACTGGCTTCTAGGAGAGTGGACGAAGAGGTGCAAGGCTTGAGAAGGTCAAGGGGGTGTGCGGGGGGGTGGGGTGGGAGGGGGCAGAAATTCATTCCAGGCAGAGGAGAAACATGGGCACCAGTGGTGGGGTTTACCAAAAGCTGTTTATTGCTGGGACTTCTTGCTGGAAGCTGTTAACAAGCCCGGTGACAGCCAAGGGCCAGGTGTGCATCCAGATCAGCCAGATGCAAGTGCTGGTTTCCTGGACCCAGGGGCTCTGCCCCAAAGACATGCTTTCTGGCAAACTGGCTGCATCTCGACGAGAGGAAATGGTGCCACTGCTGGTCATCTCTCCCCCACCCCCCACCCCCATCCCATGTCTTGGAGAAGACAGGAAAATGCCACGGGTACCCTTCCCAAGTAAAACCTGTCCTGACCCCTCCTGTCTGCCCAAGGAGCCGAGGGGCCCCAGGCTCCGCAGTGAGCCGGAACCCCAGTGCCAGGGAGGCACCAGCCCTCCCCTCGCCGTCCAGTCACCTCCCCCAGGACCCCAGCCCACATCGCAGGCTGACGGGGGCGGGGACCAGGGCCCGAGGAAGCACAGCGTCTCCGATCCGAGCTGTAGTGGGGCCGGCTGGATGCAGCGGAGTCCCAGCCGCTGAAGCCCTCACAGACTCTTCTGGAAGAGACGGTGCAGGCTGTGGGCCAGGACGTCCATCTCCTCATAGCCCTCGCAGCTCTGCTGCCAGCTCCCTGGCACCTGGCCCATCCCGTAGTAGGCCCCGGCAATGGCCCCAGCCATGGTGGCGATGGTGTCTGTGTCCCCCCCGAGTGAGATGGAGTAGATGAGAGTCCTCTGGAGGCTGTTGAAGGCAGAGGGGATCTCGGGGTCCGGCTCCATGCAGCGCAGGAAGCAGTAGATGGCGGTGGGCACAGATTCGAAGGCGGCAATGCCATTGCCTGTCGGGAAGCCAGCACATGGGGACCCCACACTCCCCCCACCCTCTGTGTCCCCAGGCTTCCTCCGGCCGCGCGCCCCAAGTCAGTACTCTCAGCTTCAAGCTGGGCTGCGGTTCAGACCACAGGCTCTAGAATTAGACTACCCAGCTTCAAATCCTGGCTCTCCGTCCTGCTAGCACGGGGCCAGGCAAGTTCCCTCACGGCCGAGATTCCGGTTTCTGGGGTTCGACTCCTCGGGCAGAGAGGGAATAAAGGCAGTGACACTCAGGGCTGGTGTGGGGGTGAAATGAGCCAGGCAGAGTTTCCTGTATGGTGCCCAGACACAGTACAGGTGCTCTATAAACAAGCACCAGTTACCAACATGAACGGTCAAAACTAGCGGCCACCTGCCATTCCTGGGGACATTGAGCTGTGAGGCCAGCGGTGTGGGAGCCCTGGAGTAACCCCAGCAAGGCGGCGCTGTGTTCCCAACCCTGCCAGGGACCGCACAGTGTGGGCTCCGCCATCACTGCAGCTGCGGGCAAGAAACGCGGCAGCAGGCGTGCCTCCAGGCTCCCCTCCGTCCTGAAGCCCAGGACTCGCCCTGAGGATGACGGGTGTGAGGGTCTACCTACCTAGCTCGGACACCACCTCCTCTCTGGTCACCGAGTCCTGCTCTAGAAGAGCGCCAATCTTCTTCAGTCGGCTGG